TTGGTTCGCCTTCATCGTCGTTCGGCTCTTGCTTTTGCAGAAGCACATCGTAGCGACTGTTGGCGCGGCCTGGTATTTATGTCGTCGGCTACCTTCATCAGTGCCGTCGTTGTTGGAGGCGCTATCGATGTTGCCGCTGCTGTTCCTGCGGATAGTGAAAAATCAGAAGAATGATGTTAGCCTGTTGTCGCAGGCCTCACGGCAGGACACTATGTTGCGCGCGTCGATTGTAGAGTAGAGGCCATTTACGAAACGCAGTTGTGCTCTATTTCTGCTGTTGGCCTTAGCTTTTCAGTGCGAAAGAGTAAGATTTTGAACGGTTGAACTACAAGCCGGTGTGGGTGTCACGGCTGGGCCTAGACTTACATGGCCTACACGGTTTAGTGGGTTAGGGTTTATATGGAATAAGGGTATAGTGGTATATCAAGCAGGGACAAGAGTAACAGTTTTGAATTTATTTTTAACGCTCATTGTTTTTGTCTGCACAAATTTTGTTCTCCTTTTGTTTTTCTAAAGCGGCGTCGTAGCCTTGTGAACAATCCTGTAATTCATGTGCAAATAAATAGACATTTATAATTAAATTTCTCTTATAACATTATATTATTATATAGTTTCTACTAAAAACTATAATTAGCTTTTGAATATTTTACCATGTGCTGAATTTCGCTCTTTTGAAAATTGACTATAGGATAATTCGGATCAATGATTTTTCAGTGCCGTTGGTAAAATTCCCTCTGAAGTTCCAGATACTGTCTCATGATCGACGATACATAACGGGGTACGGTATCAGAGAAAATCTATTATGACCTCAATTTTGAACTATAATTACAGTGTTTTTTCTCGAAGCGAGGCACATGAGTGTTTAGAGCACGCTCTATCCTACCCATGTGCCTAAGAGAATTACAATCATCTGAGCAGGTATTAAGATTTAAATTCAGAGCGAAGCAAAAAGGTCGAAGAAACCCATCCAAGTTTGTTGGTAACTTGAATCGTTCAGTTGGCACTCCACCAAATTCAATTCGATCGACTCCGTGAACTCCACAGGAAGACAACCTCAAAAATTTGCCTGAACAAACGATCGATGCACTCGTTGTTTAGAGTTGAAGTAATTCGTTATAGGACGACTTCAAACTAGGAACTTTGGTTAGCCACGAGTCATATTTCTAGGTTAATGAGATCTCCGTTGTTGTGAATTCATCACTAACAATGTCTTATGGGACAGTATTTTATTTAATTCCCGACGGTAGACCAGATTTGACCGACATATCCAATAGTTTCATGTCATTAAAAACATTTATATGCTTGTTTATATCAGTGGAATATCGAAACAGTAATGTGTAATGTAGAGTATCTAGGTTTTACCTATCTCCCAGACCGTATCCTGAGACCTCAACGATTTTTTTTTTGCATATGAGAAAAGAGTCGTTCTTGACGATCATTTTCGTTTAATATAACCACCATCGGCCGTGACCGGTTTCAATTTATAGTCATTTTTAAAACGTACCTTGTTTAGTATGTAACTACTTTCTTAATAGTTTGTTACAGATTAAAGTTAGTTAAAAGCGATATGGTTCAATGTTAATATCGCTTAAATACATTGTGTGCAAAAAACAACCCAGCGTAATGAGATTTTGGGTTGATATTAAATCAAGGGTCTCAAAAAGACTAACCAGTGAAGTTGTTATGACTTAATTGGCGATTAATGTTCACCTCTCCGAAACAGCCCTTAATTTGTGTATCAGAGACCAAAGTACACCGGAGATGTTTTCTGAGCCTTTTTCAGGGATTTCTGAGCTATGAAAGCTTCTAGTTAAATCTAAACCCTTGAAGATCTTCCGGATTACGTCACGATCGTCTTCAATAACGTTGGTCATCAATTTCGGACAAAGAAGCTTTTCAACCTTAACGGGAGTTCGTCCAGAGCGGAAATATCTGATGTTAGCTAATCTTCACTTGAATTCTGAGAACGATGCTTTGTTGCTACCGTAGTGCATTTGTTGTCTCACTCTAAAGTGAATGAATTTTTTTCTCGTCACTGATGAACGCATGCCCGCTACAACGAACAGCCCATCTACGTTTCTCGAGACTTGAATGTTCCATCTTATATACAGTCAAGCCTTTTTCAAAGAAAAATTATGGCCACATATAGGGAACCTTGGAGGTCCTGCCATTTCCCCAATGCGACAAGCTAGTTCATATCTCCTGATTTCGCTTTACTGTTCAATAATCACCGCAAGAATGAACCGCTAGGTCTATCATCGTAGCTATTTTAATTTTCGCTAGAATTGAGTATTGAATTATCAGAGTTATATTTGAGTTAATGCGTGTCCTTTCCTCTCGAGTACTACTAGCGCTTGATCAATTTACTAAACAACTTACTAAGAATCAATGAAAAAAACAACACACAAATTCATGGAGAAAAAACATGGACTATAGTTTCACAGTAACAGCTCTAGTTTATCATTAACTGTATAATTAGAATCGTTTGAATTTTTAAATAGCGTTTGAAATATCTCAATATTGAAAACATAGCAAAAAGTACAGATCACACAGCCGTACTGCGATTGCACTGTGATTTGTATTATTTGGACGTTTGCCTGTGATACAGAGGTGTTAGGCATCACTTCATTCAAACGTGGCTATCTTATTTAGATAGCATTATTTAGAAAAGTGCCATAGGATTAAAGTAACTGTAATACGTGACCATGCGAAATTTTTCGTAAAAAAGATCGCGTCCTTCTGAAAAGCAACTGTCTTTCCAATGCGAAACATGTATGGGCCGGCTAGTGGTAGATATTTTGGAAATTCTGACACCGCGTGGTTTGCAAGCAACCTTAGTGGGCTTACTCGTTCTAGGTTCGCGTTAGGCTTTAGCTGTCGTTGAAGATTTTTTTGATGTTGCTGTGGTCGTGGTAAGTATCAAGGGTGAATTAAGTTAATAACAATGGTACACAATGTTGCCGATTACTCGACACGTATGGCGTAGTTTGCGGATTAGAAAATGATTTTCAATGGCTTTTACAGATGTCCTATCCTGGGGAGAGTAAATATCTCTCTCAGTTTACATATGACTGTAAATGAGACATAAATTTAATAAATGCTTAATGCTGTTCAAATAATGCTGTTTCCTAGTAGGCTTTAATACAGCCGGCTGCAACATCCGTTCGAATTGTGCTACACTACTCACAAAAAATCAAGTTCGTCTCATAATTGTTTAGCTACCTTCTTGTATGTACGTCTACAAAGTATAAGACTACAACCGAAATGTCAAAGACCGCGACAAAAGTGACCTTGTCCAGCCGCTTACTGGTTCCTCCTCTGCGGCTACACCGTCCCTTTTTACTCTATATCGCCGATAGCGTACAATGTCAACGTAGATCCCTCCGTCCCTATTCGCTGGGGCCATTATCTTGTATAGGGTCAAAGAATAGCGAGCTGAGTCACGCACCTTCGACTCTTTTCCCCTATCGGGAACGGACTCACTGGAATCGCGCGAGCTCGTTCGTCTATTTAGCCGGCAGCTTGTGCGCGTGAGCAGCCTCAACGCCGCCGCTGTGGGCGCTTACTGCTAGACCTGCACTAGTAGATCGACGGCGCTTTGCAGTCATAACCGTTAGTACTTAGTAAGGGCTTTGGAAGAGAGGGAGATCTTGGGGAAAAGACCTGCCGATTGTTAGGTTTTGGCTTGAATGACCGTAGACGGAGGCTACTGGTAACTGGCAAACAAGCAACTAATCGAGTTACCGCTTTTCGATAGTTTGCAGCACAATGGCCAGATGTGTTTCGTGCTCTAGATCTGCACTTAGAGATGTGTGCATGTTTGAGAATGTGCTTCTATGACACACTATGCATGTATTTGACTGAAGTGTTGTAGGTCACCTTCTCTCCCCTTCTTTCGACCACCCCTCCCGCTCTCCTGCGGCCTTGGCTGAAGTTCAGTGTCAACATCCTCGACGCCGCGACCGTACGCCTACTATGCACCATACAGCTCCGGATTGAATCAGATCAGGAACAGCAGTAGCACCAACATCATCATTGGCACGAGCGCTTGTCACAGCAGTTCTGCGCGCGTTCATAAAATCATAAGTCGATGAAGCGCCGACGAATTAAATCGACCTGCCAGCACGTCGCTAGTGAGAGACACATTCATGAGCATCGACGGTACGATAGGATCCTAGTCGAGAAATACAAGCGCAGCTACACTTTCCTATCCTCCATTCTACTTCTTTGTCTACTTCATCGCTTCTTATACGCTCACACAACTTCACTCTGCTCACAGAGCACCCGACCTCACAGGCAGAAAGCTAGCGTACCGGATAACACTGAGCGCTCTTAAGGCAGGCTAACAGATAGATAGCGAGACAGACGGAATTATGTTGATCGCTGTTCGAGTCTCTATAATCGGGTGTCTGTCTGGGTATCTGTGTGTGTGTGTGCTGTGCCTAGTGAATGCCGCCAGGTCGGCTTGTTTTGTCCGGTTTGGTCTACGTAACTATCCTGTTGTGGAACTGGTTGGCTTTATGTGCGGATTGTCTGCAACGATCTGCTGAAACAGCCGCTACTGTAAGCGAGGTTTCGGCAGTGGCAGCGGCGACAGGGTGCTGACTTGTTCGTTGGCGGTGTTGTTGTCGTCATGGTAGGTGAGGGTCGCGGCCGCTGGATGGGTGAGGGTTAAGAACCAAGGCCCGTTGTCCTCGTAAACGTCTAGGCTCAGAATAGGGTTAGGTGTTTGCTTGGCCTGTGCGTGTTCTGCTATGCTGTTAAGTGGCCATCCTGCCGCTCTGTTTACTTGTACGGAACAATGACTATCGTGTAGTTACCATGCTCCCTAGGTGCTCTTCACAGCAATGACGAAAGTGTTCAGCCAACATTCAGCCTTAGCCTAGCGATGGGGCAGTAGCAGCAGTGCATAGTATAGCGCGCATAGATAGTTGCTAGCGGCGTGAGTGGCGCCGTAGCAGCAGAAAACAGCGGCAGCAGGCAAGGCCCACGCCGGGTGGAGAGGGTCATAGAGTGGTCGTCATCTCGCCGCTGCTGGTCGTCCGCGCGCCCCACAGCGCCGCTGCCTCTCTTCCACGATTGCATTTGCTGCCTGCTTGGCCTGCCAGGCCTGCTTCATGGCCTCTCTGTAGCACAGCAACGATGATAGCGACGGCTACGAGTGCGGCAGCGGCTGTGGCAGCAGCGGTCATGGCGGCGTTAGCAGACCCAGCGTGAGTGAGTCGAGAGAGAAAGAGAGCCAGCCAGCTGTGTCTCCTTACCGCTGCTACTGCTGCTGCTGCTCCTAGCGGGAGGGGGGAATTGGCTGAGACACTCGTCGAGATATAGAGCGCGGCAGAGATCGGTGGCGACCGGTAGAACCGCGAGATCAGTCGTCTCGCGAACAGCGGCTGTGCCGGCAGCGGCAAAGCAGACCGGACCGTCGATGCTAGTGCCAATGTCAGCGCTAGCATCCTAACCTGAGCTAGCTATAACGTAAGCTAGTGTGGTATGGCCTGGGTATTTCCCCGCCTATCTACTGTACAGAAAGAAAGTTTCGAGCTGCAAATTGAGCCCAAACGCACCAAGTGAGTGGACATCCTCAACAGGGAAAAAAAGTCGAGAAGGCTCAACTGGGTGTTTGTTGGCCATAGACAAGCAAGCGGTGCACTTTTTCGCTGTTCGTGTTCAGTGGATTGCTCTGGCGGTTTGAGCTGACGTAATCGGAAGTCGTCGGATCGACCGCGATCGAATCGAAAAGGAAAAAAGGAAGAGTCTAAGAAATAAGTCTGTTCGCTGAATAACTGCTAACAACGACAACAGCCCACGAAATAGCTGATACGGCGTTCTGCTAATTTCTTAGCGCGCGAGTAAAATGTCTAATCCTGATCTCATTAACTGCTGTTAGCAAAGAAAGCAAGGAAAATGATTTCTTCGTAGAAATTGCTGTAACTTGAAATAGCAATAACGGCTTATAGTAGGTGACACATCCTTCCACTCACTGTGAGCCTATGGTACATAGTAAAGGATACCCCCTCAGTTAAAGAAATCGCCGCTTAGTCGCACAAGTCTCCGTTCATGCACCTTGACACTAGAGCTACATTGTCCTGAAGTTTTTGAAAGACCCGCTCTTTCCGGAGTATAGTGGCGGCGTTTCCACGTGTATATGTCCCACTTCGATACTGTTTACCGCTATAATAGTGGGTAGCAGGAGCGACGGTGATGATAGCAAAAAACTGCCACGGAACAAATAAAACAGAATCGTAGTGTATTCAGTGAAGTGTCTCGCGGAGGTGCCTGTCTCTGTATGTTTGTACGAATGTGTGTTGTGGATGTGCGGGTGTACGCGCGTATTTATATGTAAACAAAAAAGGAAATTGTCCAGCTGTTGCTACCAGGTTGAAGGTTGGGAGTGAATCGCTGGAATCACAACTGGAATAATAACGAGTATCAATCCTGTGCATAATTCTAGCACTCTGTAGTTTTTACATACAGTCGTCGCGATAGCACAAAAATCAAAATATAACAACGACAAAAATCAAGCAGCAGCAGCAGCAGTAACTGCCGAAACAGGACAAACAGAAAAAAAGGCGCGTTCTGGCTAGTCAGTGCAAACTGTTTTCGTGCGCGGAAGACGACACGTTGCGCAATTGATGCTAGGGGGCAAACGCAGTGTTCGTAGTGGTGGCCCGGTCGCCTCGGCAATAAAATCTAGTCGACAGTGCGTCGCTATGGAATTGCGCGAAGTCGGCACCCACTATTTACCTGGGGGGGCAATCGTTCGACCAGCCACGAACCCCGCCGGCTCGTCGTGGATGCACGCTAATGCAAATGATGCATCCACCCACGCGGATGGCCAACAGAGGTGAGAAATACCTGGTAGACAACTGTAGTAGAATAGTTCAGGTAGTTCACGTGGATTATAGCTTCACCTTTAATAGTGATAATTGTAGCAGATACCTTACTACTCGGCTATGTGATCTTGCATTAGAAAAACAGCAAGATCGACTTTATATTATTGTACCGCTAGTGCGAGATGTGGAGACAACGGCTCTCAAGGTGTAAACAAATCAAAGGAACAGAGAGACGCGCGTGCATCGATATCTAATAGACAACATGAAAACGACTAGAAAAAGTTAATTTATTGTTTAATAAAAGCCGCAGTACTGATAAAACTATTTGAAGCAGAATCCTAGGCTAAATGGACTTTGTGACTGAAACCGTGCTGGCTAGTTAATAATCCTCTAGTACGATTGTATCGTTATTAAGGGGGGTCGAATTTGGGCATTACAATTTAATAAGTTGTAAAGGGTTCGAATACGAGTACAGACCAGTTGTCTTCGGTTTCAAAACGACGTTTCGGTTGATGTGGGTGCAGCCCGATACCTGTGAGGGCGTTAAACTATGTTAAGACATTTTTTACTTAACTTTAATGAAGTAAAACCTTACAGGTAAAAATTGTACTGATTACAAGTTATTTATTTATTGGTTTATTTATTATTATCGGTTAGCGGCAAACTATGCCTACTTTTTATAGTGCGTATGTTGAACGACAGTGAACTTTTGTTTTACCCGCAGTCTGCGTGAGCTTTTTCTCTGTTATTAAAATATTACTGTTACCTAAAGCGTTATTTGTCTCGTATTGGCATGCAAACGCATAAGCACTTACCAAAACTAAGCCGGTCGTCTTCGGGCAAAGCTTTCCAACAAAGTTCAAAGCCAACAAAGTTTGTTGCTTACCTCAGGTCTTTTTAGAAATTTTTTTTCATAGGTGGCAACGAGCTTTAAGGTTATTATAGGCGGTGAGTCACATTTCCCTGTTAGTCTTCCTTGGTTTATGTTTTTACCAGTCGCCCTTAGTCGAAGAAGAACAAGAAGCCAGCAGTACGAGTCAAAACCTCCGGCCAATGTGCGATTCTCCACGTTCAGTGTCGGGCTCATATCTTGGTCATTGTGCGCTGGGTTCCAACGATACGTAAATGCTGGGACTTTTCAGGTGTGCGGTGGTGACCAGTCGATTTGGTGTCCTTTATCCAATGGCTCGCTCTAAAAGCGCCTCTGCGTGTGTGACTTCAGTTTGTTACTAGCGATCGAGGATCGGAAAAGTTTAACGAAGCTGGTACTTTGAGATGCCAGCTATCGATTCTTTCCAATGAGTGGACAACTGAATTACTACCAGGGCATTTTTCTATGTTAATAAGTCATTTACTTGTTTAGTTTTTTTAGGCAGTACACAACAATCGGTTTGTTGATCTCTTCATTTTTTTCGCAACACAACGCGAGAACAAGCGTAGTTAAGGTACAAGCACCAGCAAATATTCCTGATGCTTTGTATTTTAGACATTGTCGGTTAGGCCGAGGCGTTCGAACCACGATTGGGATCTCGTTTTCAAACGAACTACTTTCTTTGTTGGGACCTTGTGTATTAATTTGCTGCACGACAACAAATGCTTGCTATAGATAATGATCCAGTTTGCGAAAAAATATCTTGAGGGGTTTCATCATTGAAAACACGGGTTACTTTCGTGTGTAATCGACGTCATACCCGTCACACGCCCACCATGCTGTAGTGATTATGATGGTATTTAAAATGATGAGACTAACCATGTTGCCAACGTTTTGCCGTGGACTTTTTGTAAATTGTAGCCGATGTTCTGAATACTGCTGTTGGCTTTGCTGATACCGCTACCGTTTTGCCGGCGAAGGTCTGCGATATCTGTCCTGGTCTTTTAGCCAATTTGGCATGTTTTCCGTTCTTCTCTGCAACGTGCGTGTGTGTATAGGCATGAATGTTTGTATGCATGCGTTTGTGCGTTGGGGGCATGTTCATACTCTGTTTGTTCAATGAAAAGAGAAATGACTAATGCGGTGGCAAAAGGCAATGTCAGCGGCTATGGTGGACACGGCTCGGCCGCTGTAGCGTTTGCTTCCCGTCTGCTGCCGACGATAATGGTGTTAAAACACATGGTCGAGTTCACTGGTCGCAAAGGAACAATCTGCCCCATATGAACACGCTGACTTTCGTATAAGCTGTGTAAAGTGCTTTTTTCTAACGACGATGATCGCGTAAACCTCTGCCTAAATCTCATCCCCCTACCATAGGAGAAGAAAGTATGTCGAATATATATATATATGGCACATCGATGACTTAGATCTGTTTGTTAGCCTCGAACGGATCGCACAGAGGAAAGTTTATTTACATTGACAAAACAAAGATATTGGTAATTGGCGTTAATCAAACAAGTTGGCCCCTAGCTCTTTGTGTTGAACACGCATCGTTTGAACCGAATTTCGTATCGCGCTTGGTACCGAAAATTGTTGTTATCAAGCTGAGCCTTGTGTTAAAGAATGGCGATATTTGATTTACCTGATACGCAGCGATGCTGAATCTGACCGAGACCTCAGGTTGGTTCCCCCGGGGTTCTATAGCGGACCTGAGTTAACATTGATGCACGAAATGATTCAATACGTGTGCCATACATTATTCACAGTATGAAAACTATTTGTTCCGAAGCTCGAACTTCGAAAGGAAGGTGAACTGTAGCCTATAAACAACGTGCAAAATTACGGCAACGGCTTAAGTGAAAAGTCTTTTCGACTTCCTCACTTGAACCAATGATACCTTCTCACACAAGTGCTGTACCCATGTGATAATAGGCCCATCGGCTATTGATGGCCTTCCTTTCACAGTAGTGAATTCATGCCAGGACCGTATCGGAAGCGTGTCATTTCTATCTTTTATTTCGTTCAAATACCGGCGTTTATTAACATACGGCAATAACTATTTCGCTTCTTAAACTGGAAGGGCCCACGTAAAAGGATCAATCGAACAAGATCACTCAATTCTATTGAAGTGTCTGGAGATGTGTGCTGGCCTCTCCGATACTGCGCCGGTGGAAAGAAAGCAAACATACCGAAGCTGGGACTCAGGCAACGAATGCGGCACTGTTTGTTTCGACCAGAAACAGCAAACCTAGTTAGAACTATCATATTGTCTAGTTTTACTAAATAATCAGTCTTAAGACAAAAACTTCCATGCTACTGTCTGCTAGCCTCATCTAGCCACTGTTAATGGCTTTTCGTCCTCTATAATGGACGCTTTCGCTGATTGTAGTAATTCATCTGCCTAACAAACATGTACAGGAAATGCTACTTTTCAGTAAAACTTGAATATGTGCCCTTTTCGAGCTTCGTTGGCGTTGTTAAAATCAGACGAAAATGTCTCGGTCGTTTCTCAGCAACACTTATTGAGCTACAGACGTTCCTCTCGTATAGTAACTACCGCCATCGCCGCTTTATAATATAACAAACTCAACTAGAGTTAATCACCCATTGAGTCCACTAGGGGTGCTCTAAGTCACATATGTACCCTTCCACAGAATTCCCTCAAAGGGTTTACCTTTCTCACTTCAGTGTTCCCTTGCCATGATCCTCATTACTGCTGTTGCTTCGTTTGCCATTATCGTCATTTGCCGTTGCTACCACGTGGCATTATATTGCTTTCTCCTCCAGTTTCGCTGGCGGTATAATTCGGGCTGGGTTTGTATGTACGTGGACTATTGCCAGCCCGGCGGCAGAAAGACGCCGCGTGGAAACGATACGAGAGACTTCGATCGGACAAAACCTGTCGGGGGCTGCCGACACTATCCATCGGGGTTACGTACTAACGCGCTCGGGATTGGCAGTACAACTGCGGTGATCTTCATTATTGCTATGACGATGCCAGCACACATTTTTCACTAATAGTATCGTCAACCAGGAGTGACAATAGACAGTAGCACCTACTCGAGGTGAGTTGGCTAGCCGATGGCTTGAGAGAAGCCAGACACCCTTTATCCGCCAACCTGAGGTGTGCATGTTCATTCCCAAGATACATCTGAAAAAGGGAACATAGTGCTATTACCGCGAAACAGCGTTTTGTATATAGATATTATTTACTCGAACTGGTTGCGATAGTTTGTTGCTAAGTAAAGAGCGAACGATGGACAGCTTCTGTTTCGGGATGGAAAAATAATTTGAGGTTCTTGAATTTATTAAAAACTGTATAGTGAAATGATGGCCCCTATTCATGTTCGGGTACTTCGACCACAAGAGCTATGAGCCGTTTTTATATAGAGATCCCTTGGCAACATTACGCGGACATTAACTGGCCTGAAATAAAATTAAAAAGAAACACAGCTTAAAAAGAAAAGCCATAAATTATCTTCATTACATAATCAGAAGCGGTAGCGACGGATTACAATGCGGACAATCGATACGGTCGGCAGGCACCTCCACACGCTAAGACAAATCTAGGTAACATGGTTAGCCTCAGACGAGGCTTGGGCCAAGCATAAGGTGCTACGAACATTCTCATACGTTCCACTAGCTGTTCACTATGTCGACAACGCCGTCTATATATATACATATATATATATATATATATATATATATTAGTTTATTGCGTGTTTTGGCTGCTGTCGCCTGATCAATTCCGCTTAGTTATAGGATATTTAACTACAGGGAACCCTTCTGTCGGAATAAACTAACGTCTTATCTGCCTCGCGCATTAAGCTTTTTAAACAGGCAATTCAGCGGTATCTTCGATAGTCACTAACAAGAGTTAGTTGATCTGATAAAAACACGATAACACAATGGTTCATCCTGCCGTTCAGGGGCCAGAAAAAGACTCGAAACGCATGCACCGTAAGTTTGTTGATAAACATGGCCAAATAAAGTTTGACGCTTTTCTCTCCAGTAACAGTCATTGGAGGAAAATCTTCGCTTCGGCGAGTTTGGCTGGTCACAACAGCTCAAGAAAGAGGACTGGGCAAGCAAGCTTGTCTACACAAGAGAAAACACATTTCTCCACCAACTATTAAGCAA